AATAATCAGCTAGATCCAATTAAATGTCCCAAACTATAATTTATATTAATTAATTATTTTTGTTTGAAAGAAAGCTGCCTTTGTCGAAGTGCACAGACTGTAAGATACAAAAGCCTTTTGTGGTTGGTTCAAACTTCCTATAGAATTCCCACCAATTTCTTCACCTCCTGGAGGACAGGATAGGCTAATTCTTTGGCTTTTGCTGACCCAGCTTGTAAAACCTTCTCTAAATATTCCTTGTCCATCTTCAGTTTTTCAATTTCATTTTTAATTGGAGCAAATTTCTCAATCACAGCATCTGCCACCACCAGTTTGTAGCGGGCAGTATCGATGCCTGTGCTGCGGCGGACCACCTCCTCCGTGGTGAGACCTGTCACCGCAGCGTGGATAGAGACCATGTTGGAGACGCCCTCTCGGCTGGCAGGGTCGTAGGTGACCTCTGAGGTGAAGTCCGTCACAGCCTTGCGGAATTTCTGCACTATCTCCTCTGGGCTGTCGGTTATTCGGATGGTGGCCAGTTTGTCAGGATCAGATTTTGACATTTTGGAAGAAGGGTCACGGAGGGATTTTACCTTCTTCATGGATGCTAGGTCAAAACACCAACACACATGCCAAAAAACAAAAACAAAAACAAAAACACAAATAAATCAGCAAGACTCACTGCCGGGATCTGGAAGATATCAAGAATACCAATGACTTTTTTACCTGTCTGGTTCTAAAAATAGCAAATATTCATTGTGAAAAAGTCGAGCAATTTATGTAAGTATGAAAGTAAAGATTATCTGAATTATGTAAAACTGTTAACATTTTCTCCATACTTTCAGGCATCTTTTAATGCATTTGTTCACCTAAAATGTACACTCTTACCCAGATGGAATTATGCCAATCATACTGCTTTTGCTGTGTATAACTTTTAAAAAAGTATTATTTCTTCTCCTCTCTGCTCTTCCCTATTAGTAATCATTTATTTACCCCCTGCAACCATTGCCGTTTCTACTCCCCAACCAGTTTTAACAATCTGCAGTAATCCTTCCATTTCTTTACCCAGGATTATACACACACACACACGCATACACACAAGAAATGGCTTGTTTATTGCTCTGATAGAATCAAGATGTTAAGCTGTGCTTCATAAACCAGTGTTATTAATAGTTGCCTATTTTATGGCTATTACAGAAGCATATAAAATTGAAAGAGGTAAAATAATAATAGGTCATGTATTAAAATCTTATTTACTTAGTTATTTGCATTATAATTCCTAATACACCATTATACATTAAAATCTGATTGTTAAAAGAAGTCTGACTTCAACGCATGGGATTTCTTGAATTTATTTGTGTGAATTTTTGAAATTACCTAGAAATTTATACCTGACTTATGTCTCTGAGTTGAATCTAGGATCACATTATACTCCTTTAAATACTATCAGCTTAATAAACATGAACAGTGCTTAGGTTCCATAATCTCTGCCCCTGCCACAAAATTTACAAGTCTATCAGAATGCTGGTAGACTTAACAGCATCAAGAAGGCTCCAGACTAACATAACAATGGAGGCTGAGGCTGATCTCTGAGACCCAGCAGGTGGATTGTGCATTCCATCTCCGAGGTTCACTTAAGAAGACAGAATATGAGGATTACAGATTCCCTCTTATTTGATGTAGACTGAGTGAGTATTCAGGAAGGCAAGGTAAGCAGGCTTTGGGCTTACAAATGCTCAGCAGAGGACCCAACTCTGCCACAACTAGACATGTGACTTGGACACAAAGTAAGCCTTGCCAAACCTTTGTTTCTTTACCTATAAAAGAGGTGAAGATATCTGTCCTACCCAATAAAGTTTGTTATTTTAAATATATCTATTAGGTAAATTATATAGTACTTTACAAATTAAAACCATTATTTTTAGTTTGCAGTTTCTTCCATACTTCTCAAACATTTTAGTTATCTTTTTCAATAATCTAGTGTGACGTGCTAGTCCCACATGACAGAAACAATGAAGATTCGAGTTCCAAATCCTGAAGTTTGTCTATGAGAAAGCCAAGTTTTGTCCTAAGACAGTTCCCACCCTCCATCTATTATCCAGTTTTCACTTCAAAATATGCCCGGATTTAACAATCATGTATTTGTTACTTACTGAGGATGGATTTGGGCACTGGAAAGAACTCCCCATACTTCTTGTTGAAACCTTGTGCTAGGTCCTGAACTAGTTCCATGTGCTGGATTTGGTCCTCCCCAACAGGAACGTGTGTGGACCTTTAATAAAAGACAGAAAAACTCAGCAAGGCTTCTTCTTAGATGGAAATGATATTGCAAGCAGCTGCATTTCCTGTGTCTATTTCATTGTTGGTGTTCAATAAATGTTCACAAACTACAGAGGGAACGTTGAGACCCAAGTCTTTATCCATGTATCAGACAAATGCTGGAGAGATGTTTGTCTACTCTGGCTCAGTTTCTTCCATAGCAGAGGAATACAGCCATCAACACCAGTGTGACAGGATCTCGCTGGGAGGGAGGCACGGGATCCTCAATAGCATATGCGTTACACATAATTGTATTCTAAAACCCCTCCTCATTCCCTCACTCAGTCAGCACATATAACCCGAGCCTGACCAGATGCTTTTTACTCAGAGCTGTGGCTTGCACTTGAAAGACACTCCTCCCCATCTTCAAATCAGATATGGCAGAAAGCTCTCTCTCTCAGACAAGTGTTTTCCCTCCCTGTCACACAGGGAGTGATTCAAGATCTTTTTGGAACACACTACTTCATTTTCAAGTCAATTGCAATGACAGGAGAATTAAGACGCTGGAAGGAATGTAAATAAACAACATCTCCAGGTACAATAATAGATAGATCTTGCGTTTTTCAGCTTCTTGTTGCTGAAAATACCTGACTTGAACAATTTAGAGGAGAAAAAGTGTCTTATGGCTCACGGTTTCAGAGGTTTCACAACATCATGGTGGAAGGGCATGGTAGAGGAGCTGCTCCATTCATGGTGGCAGGAGGCAGAGAAAGGGTAAGGAACCACAGAGTAGATGAACCCTTCCAAGGCATGCCCCCGGGACCTCTGGCCTCCAGCCACAACCAACCTGCCTACAGTTACCACCAAGTTGGACCTTTTATACTAGCACGTCCGGATTAAGTTACAGCTCTCATTGTCTAATCTTCCCACCTCTGAGCATTCTTGCATCAACACAGCAGCTTTGGGGAGATAACTCATATCCAAAGCATAACAAATCTCAAAAACAATGCTGAATGAAGGAAGCAAATTTCAGAAAACACCTAGGGTACACATTGGCATTTACGTAAATAATAAAATTACATAGGAAAATACTACACATTGCTTATAGAGGCATAGATCTGGAGTGATAAGCACGAAAACACACTGGAGGGGTCTCCCCAAGTTCATGACCATAGCTGCTTCTAGAGAAAGAGAGAAGGAGATGGGTCTGAGGAAAGGAACAAAGGAGGCCTGAATTTTATCTATGATATTTTATTAAAAAACAAAGACGTGAAACCAAAAATATCAGAATGTGGAGAATCTATTTATAATGATTTTAATTACACATACAAAATTTGTAGGGTCAGATCATGATGAGGTTCATCAAGAAGAACTAACCATTTCACAGAGAAGATCTAGTAGGGAAAACTGTACTGAAGTGGTACTGTGGATGGAGATAGTGATGTTAGTATTTCATATCTTGATTGGCAAGTTTATATTTGATATTTGATAATACGAATATAATAAATAAAGTGCCATAGTTTCTTTTCTTTTCTTTTTGGGTACTAGAAATTGAGCCCCAGCAGTGCTTAACCACTGAGCTACATCCCCAGACAGTTTGTTTATATTTTTATTTTGAGACAAGGTCTTGCTAAATTGCTCAGGGCCTTGCTAAATTACTTAGGCTGGCTTTGAACTTGTGATCCTTCTGTCTCATCCTCCTGAGCTGATGGGATTACAGCATGTACCACTACGCCCGGCTACACAGCTAGTTCCTTTCAAGGAAGTTTAATATTACCCCCTGGGAGAAGCAGTCAGTTATCTTGGGCAAGTTTCTTACCCTTTCCAAGCTTTCAATGTCTCTGTAAGTGGGGATCATAATGCTGCTTATCTCATTGGGTGGTTTCAAGGATAACAAACATGGTGCTTGATGCTAAGGGCTCAGTAACCCTTGCTGGCGATATGCCTGCTGTATTAAGAGCTGACATAATGAAGGACAAAATGGCACAAGAAAGATACATAGAAGGGTCCTTGATGTGAGGTGCACTGTGACATTTTTCAAAGAGATCATTTTCTTTTTTGGTAGCTGACTCATACCACAAACACATAGTCCCAGAGATGCTCAGAGACCTGGGTGGCAATCCTGATAATGGTAGAACACATACCTGAAACGGACACTTCACCTATCAGGTGGTCCCCAAATACAAACAGTATGCTAATAGAATTCTGAGGACTCTTTTAATTTAAAGAAAACAGCAGGGACAGAGCAACGAATGGGAAGGTAAACTTCAGGGACAAAGAAGATGAATCAGGAAGTGCTTTCTGTTCTTAAGTCAGTAAATAAATGTAGGAAATTCTACTAAAGGACTGTGGGGGCCATGTCCATTGTTCTCTTCCACACAGTGTGGAGCAGAAAGCCACTGGCTCAGTGGTTAAAAAGAAAAGATGTAGGCCCTGGGTGCAACCCATTCATGCCTCACCTTTGAGAATTTCCCTTCTTTGGATCTGGCTGCTCCTGTCTGGTAATTAGAGTGAGGCTGACGTGCAGAGGTCACTTTGACTCCCCCAAACCAAATTAGCCAGCAGAGCAGGTTAAAAAGCAATTACAGTAGCCCATAGGAAATCAGAATGGACTGCAACTAACACAGAAAAAACAATTACCATAATCAATACACTTTAAGCACATCAGAATGAATATTTCCACATGCCAAAATGGTTCCAGATTCACCAAGCAACCAAACTAAACAGAAAACACATTTAGTTTTCATAATAACGCTGTGTGCGTCTTGCCTTATGTCGGATCCCTGCCTCTTTTCTTACAATTTGGCGAGGTTTTGATTTTTTTTTTTTTAAAAAGGAATAAAAAAATTTTAATTTTTTTCACCTGGTCCCATTGCGCCACGTGGCTTTTGCATCTGACTTTCGTTTGTTTGTTTCTGGTCTCTCCTCCTCCTGCTCCTGCTTTTCCTTTCACCTCCTATAATTTATCTTGGCCTTTACTTCTTATCCATTGAGTTTACACTTCACATTAATTCAGCCTGTCTTTGATTCTACTCACTTATGGGGCTTATTCTTTTCACGTCTTTAACCTCTCTCCTCATACTCTTCCTTTCACTTCAAATAATTTAGTGCTGTTCTTTTAAAATTTATACCCAGCTTAATGATATCCATATTAATGTGCCTACTCTTTTTCTTTTTCTCCATTTTCTTTTTTTTTTCCCCTTACCCTGACTGTGCTTTCTTAGACACAACATAAAACAAAAGTCTTTCATAATTTTGATTGTTATAACTTCTGTCACATAATAATGCGTCTGATCTTCTTCTTTGGTGACTAAACCATTTTTCTTTTGCTTAGTTCCTTATTGCATCTTCATTTACTTGGGATCCACCCCACCCCCCTGGCAGAATTAGTGTCCAGATGAATAATCATTGCTTACATATATCTGCTAGCAGAGATTTGTTCTCTTGTCGTCCCCCCCACCCCTCCTACTTTCTTGGCTAGTGTTTGTGAATTTTCAATGCTGCTGCCTTTACCCAGCCTGACGGGACAGGGGTTTGGTGTTGTCTTTCCTATCATAAAGGATTGATCCCCCATCACTGGGCAATTGTTGGATGTGCTATAATAACTCTAATTCATCAATTATTTAGAAGACCCACAATGTGAAAGGTCCAGTGCTGGGTACTGTGAGAGATATAATAAAGTGGTTACCATCTCCAGGAGGATAGATATTGAATAAAGCTATACATTTTTCCAGTTAGTCCTCTTTCACTATTCTCATTGCAACAACATCAATCTAGTTACTTAAGAAATGTGTGGTCATCCCTGACAGCCCACACTCCTGCACATCCAGTCCAGTACACACCCTGCACATCCTTTCACTCTGACCTCCTAAAAATCTCCTACATTTGGTGGGGCACCATGGTGCACACCTGTAATCCCAGAAAATTGGGAGGCTAATGCAGGAGGATGACAAGTTCAAGGCTAGCCCCAGCAACTTAGTGAGACCCTGTTTCGGGGAAAAAAAAAAAAAAAAGAAGAAGTAAAAATGGCTGGAGATGTAGCTCAGTGGTAAAGTGCTTTGGAGTTCAATCCTAGTGCCACACCCCCAAACCAAAAAAATCTTACATTTGGCTGCTTCTCCTTCCTCTTCATCATGGTCCAAATTAGACCAGTGAAATAGCCTCTGAAAAGTTCATCCTAGCTGTGCATCTGTAACTCATTTTCTGTATTTTAATCAGTTATTTAAGTATAAATTATATGAAATTTATTCTGTCCTTAAAATGGACAAAAAGCTTCCCACTATGTTTCTTGAGATTATAATTGTCTGCTGACATCTTAGCTCAGCTCTCTTCCTTCTATGCTGTCTCCCTATTTTTAAGGGCTAGCAGCCTAGAACCTATTTCAGATTGCCTTCCTAGGGTTTTGGTTTAGTGTAGCACTTGCCTGATGGCTAGAAAGAAGAAAGAGAAAGAGAAGAAATGATTGTTCAGAGAGTTGTGGATGAATACGGGGGTATTAGCAGTCTGCAGAAATGAGGCTCAGGCAGCTGCTTGCAGGATCTCATAAAAACCCAGGATAGCCTGGTCTCACAGAGAAAGGAAGCAGTTTAAGAAGTGGAAGTCTTCAAAGCAGTTTTAGGAACTCTAAACTTTTAAGACGAGCTCTCAAAAAGGTTATCAAGGGCAGAAGTCTGATCCTCATACATTATGAAAACTTTTCTCCTGACTCGACTTCCTGAAGTATTGTCCATTTCACTCTCCCTACTTTTTGGTTTTGGTTTGGTTTGTGTTGATGTCATATGTCCACTTCCCCACTGGGAGGTGGCGGAACCTTTAGGAGGTGAAACTTGGTGGAAGGAAGCGAACTCACTGGAGGATGCCCTTGAAAGGAATAGTGGGCCACTGGCTCCATCCTGAGTCTGTTTTGCTTTCTAGCTGGCCTCACCACATGCTTCCCACCATAACGTTGGGCTTCATCACAGGTTCAAAGTGACAGTCAAGGGACCATGTACTGAAACCTCTGAAACTATAATAGACCTTTCCTCCTTTAAGTCGACTTACCTCAGGTATTTTGTCAAATGATAGCAAGATGACTAATGGCTTGGTTTCTTCTTACTCAGTTCTTTTTCCTGTGCTGGGGATTGAACCCAGGGCTTCATGAATGCTAGGCAAATGCTCTACCACTCAGCTACAACCCAGCCCACTCCATTCCTTAAGGTCCCTGTACCCTCATATCAGCTCTTGCTTTCACTATCTTCTTCTTATCCTCCTCCATGTTTCTCAGTTTGTTTGTTTATTTATTTATTTATTTTTTGTATTGGGATTGAACTCAGGGGCACTTTACCACTGAACTATATTCCCCCATCCTATTTATTTTACTTATTTAGAGACAGCGTCTTGCTAAATTGCCTAGGGCCTTGCTAAGTGGCTGAGGCCAGCCTTGAACTTGTGATCCTTTTCAGCCTCCCAAGGCTCTGAAAGTACCGACGTGCACCACTGTGCCCAGCTTCAGTTCAAATTGTTGAGAAAGATAACCTATTGGACAGTCAATTGTTCTCCAGTGTGAGTAGACATAACAACTCTTCCCTGAAAGTTAATTTCTTTATCTGTAAAATGGGAATACCATCATCCATCTATCCTACAGAGCTGCTGTGAGAATCTGAATAGATAATGTGTGTCACACAGCTATTATAATATCTGGCAAACAATGATGGACACATGTCAATCCTTCCTTCTCTCTCTCTCTCAAGGCCATGTACAGTTTCTTTTTCCGAATTAGTGACTTACCAAAGAGTTGCTGAATTTGAATAAAAATTACATGTGTGTATCTGAGAGGGAAAGACACACACATGAAGAGAAAGAGAGAAACAAGTATATACTTAATATACAGCCAGTCTATTGAAATTAGGCATTCAGATAAATAATGCAGGATAGAAAATAAAAATTATGAATATTTGCTATTTTTGAGTATTTTATCTTCCTTCAAAGGGCTGCTGATATTATGCTTTCAAATTAAAGACAGTCTCAGTTCTCCATTCTTGAGTTCCTTACCAAGTTCCACCAAAACGTTATGTAAATCTTTTATTAACCTATCTGGAAGATTTTTCTTTCTCTTGTGTTTCTCCTCCAGCCCATAGCACCACTTATGTCCTAATGCTGATTTTGACAACAACAAACATTAAATCTATATTTAACTTATAGCAACTATGAAGAGGCCACATAGATTTACTGGCAGAAAACAAAACAAAACAAATGTTTTATCCATCCTTCAACCTACCAAACTATCTGTCTATATTTATAATGTAAATATTCATAGACATTCTGGCTATGACCTTTTCCAAAATCCAGAAACATCTGAAATAAAACAAAAACAAATAAACAATACCCCCACGAGTGCAGGTTGTCTATCCTGAAACTAGGGAGGCAAATGTTGGGCTGTTCTTCCTAAGAATAGGAGCAGGCAGATGTCTGCCCATGTCTATTATCTAATTATGGCACCAGATCTGGCAGATAGCTGGAAGGCTAAAGGTAGTAGGCACTCATCTTGAACACAGATAATTATCTAGTTGTACAGAAAAACATCTCTATCTATTTGAACAATCTGTATCTAAAATGCCAGAATGCTGATGAGGATAGATAAGAATCCCTCCACTATTATCCTCCTTTTAGAAGGTAGTCAAGAGAGAGGCACCTCATGATTTCCTTAAGACAAGTTCTAACCACCAAATAGACCAGCAAACCTTAAAGGAGGGATATGTATTGCATGGGAATTTCTTTGCTACAGAGAGCAGGCTCGGGGATAATAGACTGAAAAATAAATGCCTATCCTTGGGGTCAAGTATTTTATGTGAGAATCCTGCTGATGTTGAAGAAAGTAATTCAGACAAGAAGTCATCAGAGACTTTCAAGGTTTACCATCCATGTCTGAAATACTTATAGTTTTGCATGAGATAAAAGGGCATTCACAGCCTCAAGCCTGGCTTTAAAAAGGACAGCACATAAAACAAGTTTTGAGATCTTAAGAGGCTATTTTTGCGCCAATGTCAGTCTTTTTTAGAAGTTCCTCTTATATCTTAAAATACCAGGTGATATCAATTCGTACATAATTTGCTCAATAACCCCCACAGGTATACCCATGAATCCACTTATGGATAAGAGAACTGGAGTATTTTACGATTCTCCCAATTGTATTTTGGGAAATTGAGAAAAACATACAGTATTTCCCCCTTATCCAAACTTTTAATTTCTGCAGTTGTAGTTTGTTGGGGTTAACTGTGGTCCAAAAATATTCCAAAAATTCCAGAAATAATTGATTCATAAGTTTTAATGGGCATGACATTCTAAGCAGTATGATAAAATCTCTCACCATTTCCTGCCCCCATTCATCCTGCTTGGGATGTGAATCATCTTTTGGTCCAGCATATCCATGTTGTATATGCAACCAGCCCATGAATCACCTGATAGCTACCATGGTCACCAGATGACAGCTGCAGTGTTGGGGGCTTGTGCCCAAGTAACTCATAGCTTACTTAATAATGGCCCCTGACACAAGGTCAGTGATGCTGGCAATTCACACATGTCTAAGAGAAGCTGCAAAGTGCTTCCTCTAAATGAAAATGTGGGACAGTTTTCAGCTAAAGAAAAGGAAAAGAAATCATATGCAAGGTTCCTAAGATTTATAGGACCAGTGAATCCTCTGAGAAATCATGTAGAAGGAAAAAAAATATGTGTTAATTTTGCTGTCAAATCTCAAGTTGCAAAACCGACAGCCATGGTGTGCAAGTGCTTAGTGCTTACTGTTTACTTCCATCTCGTCATGTAGGCACTGTGTCATCCCACATTGTCACAGAAAGGGTGAGTGAAATACAGCAAGATATTTTTGAAAGAGCCCACATTCACATAATGTGTATTCCAGTATATTTTATATTAATTTTAAAAAATCATTTATGTATTTATTTTGATGCATGCTAGGCAAGTGCTCTGTCACTGAGCTACAGCCCCAGCCCTCCAGTATATTTTATGACCATATAATTAGACTTCATTCTGCTTCCTTTAAAATATCATTGGCTTCCCAAGATATCAAGAGTCTAGCATTTAAGTTGATACAACAGGCAGACACATAATCCCATGTGCAAGTTTTGATCATAATTAAAGACAGGTTGCTTGCTCTCATGGACGTTGCCTGTTTGTGGAGTTAGGCAACTATTCTTTGGGCTGTTTCCATCATAATTGTCCAAGGGCTTTGAAGCCCTTCAGTGAGGAGGATACTGTCATCTGTATGCTATCATCAGGTTCACAGGCAAAAGAATTCTAGTTCTCCTAGGGGACAATCATGGCTTTAGGGGGAGAGGGATGAGACAACAGTCCCTGATACTTTCCCAGCAACAAGGCAAAGGCCAGGAGTGTACTTGCCTGGGAGGCTTTGCTTCTAGAAAGTCAAAGGGGTGGGGGCCGGCCAAGAGAGGCTAATGGAGAGAAAGCGGGGAAGAGCTGGGGGAGAAATGAGATCCCAAGTCCTGGCCGGTACAACAGAGAGCACAGAGAGGGGCATTCTTTGTTGTGTATTTTTGAGGCCTATAAATGGCAGCAGTAGTCAACTGGATGGATTACAGGTCCAAGAAAAGTGAGAGTGTATCATACATCACGTTCAAAATATTTTGCTCTCAACCTTCAGGTTAAATATGTAGCCACTACCCACAGGTGCCTATTTACGTTGATTAAAGAAAAATTTTAAATTCAGTTTCTATGTCACACTAGCAACATCTCAAGAGCTCAAGAGCTACATGTGGCTGGTGTTTCTGGATTCAGAAAGTGCAGGTGCAGAACATTCCCAGGCTCACAGCAAGTCCTATTGGTCAGCATTACTTTAGAGTGTTGATTACTTAAAAAAAAAAAAACAACATTTAAAGCTTAAAGTTTGTTCGTGAGGAAATATATATGGCACCGAGGTAAAGAGGCACGGATCCAACACTTTTGGCACTCAAATCCTGTCTCAGCATGCTACCAACCACTCAGTTGCCTCATCAGTGAGACATGGAAAATAATAGTGCAAATTTTACAAGCTTGTTATCAGGATGAGTATACATAAAGCATTTATAAAAGCTTCCAATATACAGTAAGTGCTAACTAAGTGTTAGCGCTAAGTATTTTTAGTTTCTCATTGAAGCATATTTCCATATTTTAGTATCTGTTATTAGAGAATAGATATAAACTTATTCACGTGTCTAACTCTTTCTGCATGCCCCTTCTCCATGAACCAAGCCTTTGTCAGATGGGTTAAAACACTTTTTTTTTTATCATGGGTGGCCTCTCTCCTTACTTGTAGGAGAGAACGTCAGCTGCTTGGAGTACTGGGTATGTGAGCAGGCCCACAGTCCCGTCGTGCTTCTGCTTGGCAGTCTTTGCCTGTGGGGGATGAAAAGAGGAGGGAAAGAAATCTGACTTGAATCTAATTATATTGCTCAATTAAGAAATTTTTAAAGTAAGCAAAGTGTGATCTGAAGCCACCTGTAATAACATTATATCTCAATTCCTTTTAGCAGCTCTAGCCGTCTTTAGCTGGTTTGTCTTCATGCTCCAGGTCTGGGCAGGAATAAGGTGAATCAATTTTTCTTCATTTTTTTTTTTTCCTGGTACCAGGAATTGAACCCAGGGGTGCTTAACCACTAAGGCACATCCCTAGCCCTTTCTTATATTTTATTTACAGACAGGGTCTTGCTGAGTTGCTCAGGGTCTCACTATATTGCTGAACTTCGAACTCATGATCCTTCTGTCTCACTCTCCAAGCTGCTGGGATTACAGGTATGCACCCCATGCCTGGCTCAAGGTGAATCAATTTTACTACTGTCCCTTTATTTGATTTATTCATGTGTTTCTGGTACTGGGATTGAAACCAAGTACCCTCATGCTAAGCATGTATTGTAACACTGAGCTATCCCACAGCCCCTTGCCCGATAGAAGGATCCCACACCGCTACTACTTTTTGCTCATTTCATTAAAGTACATACTAAGGCATTTTCTAGGTTTCCAAATCAGATAAATTCCAGATTTCACAGATAAGAAAAGAAATGATTGCGAAATTAAATTTCCACAAATTAACATGAGTTAACATTCCCTTATTACAATTTATCTGATAAGGGTTGGTTAACAATTATCACTGGATAAAATCATGAACATTTAATTTGGAAATGAGCAAATGGGAAAATAATTCAATTTTTAAAAGTTAGCAAAGCATTAGATTTAGAGTCTTTTTAATATTCGCATACTGGACCTAGAATTACAAAGCAAGCAAGGAGACATGAAGAACATTGCTTATAGAGCACCTGTTACATCTGCCTTGCCACTTGTTACTCATTAATCCTCCAAATAACCTTAACCTCACGCCCACTCTCCCATCAAAATCAAGCTGGGTGCTCTTATCAGATCTTTCCAGGGCCCTGATATCCTGCCCTCAGAGCACTTTCACATGTTGTGACTTGTATAATGTCTTTCTCTAAATAGACTACCAGCCTCCTGCAGGGCTACTCTGTCTTGTTGACTGCACCATCTTCAGCATCTAGCATGACAGAAGACTTGCAGAAAATATTGCTGTAATTCACTAGAGAATGAAGGCCCACAGAAGGCAGTATCACCCCCAGGATGAGGGTTTGAAATCGACATGTTTCCTATAAATAGAAATCATGGACCAGTGGAGAGGCTTCTCGGGAAAACCAATGTGCTCACAAGACCCTTAGAAGCTATTTCCTAAGGAGAGCAGTTCCTAATTAGTATTAGGTTCCTACAAAAAGGATTTCACCATTCAACTTAGTGGTAGAGTATTATGATAATCTTAACCTAAAATCAAAATATAGAACATTAGAGAAGCTAAGGCTAAGGCGAAGTCAGTGTCTACACAGGACTCACTGCCTGGCTCTGTGATGGTGCCTTCTCTTGTACTTGCCTGAGGGAAAGGAATAAAGGTCTCCCAGGGGCCTTTTCTCTAAGAGCACTAAATCCCATTCATGAGACTCTACCCTGAGACCTGACCACCTCTCAAAGGCTTCTCCTGTGGGGGTCCGACTCACCAAGAACTATGGGGAGACACAAACGTCAGACCACAGCTTTCAGGCACTGTCACTACAAAGCTGTTTCTATCCGGAATGCAAAGGCTTCTGAAGACCCACTTGAGGCCAATGGCCCTGAAAGTATGCTCAAAGCCAGCTTGAAACTGCAAGTCGTGTTGACATAACTGGGGCTACCTACCCTCAAGTTATCCCATTGCAAAAAAAATAAGTGGAAGTAAAGTACTTTGAATTATACAATTTATTTTTCTCAATCAAACTTCTTAGTGAAAGTATATATCCTTAATTTTTTTTCTGTGGGTTTGAACTATTGCCTGGACTCAACTTGTTTAAAAGTTAAATAAAATATGTTGTCTCTTCTCCCCACAGTGAAAACATTTCTTCCTTACTGCCAGTTAATTCCCGTGGGGCTGGGGGGCAACAGCAGTAATCCAGAAACTGTGATTATTTGTTAATTATAATGTGGTACTTTTCAAATCATTACCAAGTCTATCCAAACACAGACCAAAAAAAAAAAAAAAAAAGATTTTTAAATGAGAAGAAATCTTGGTGAACCCAAGTCACATTTTGTTTAATGCCCTGAAGTAGAGAGGTGGAAGAGGCTGTCCCAGCCTTCCGGGGTTGCATTCCACAGAGGAAAGCAAACTCAGGGCTCCCAGGGCCCAACACACATATAACCAGAAGGGAAAATGGTGTCCTTTCTGATTTTTAAGCAGATCACTGATATTTACCTTCCACTGGTGTAAATGCTGTAATCGAGGCAGCCTGACCATGCAGGTAAGGATCCAATTTAATTGTGTGTGTTCAGACACCTAAAGAAATAAAAACAGAACTTCAACAAAGGTGGCCAGTGTTTCCTTGCCTGGAAACAAACTCAACAGACAGCAGGTATTATCATAGGTCACTGAAGACACCCCAGATCAAGGTTACTGAAAGAAGGACAAGTGGAGAGGGCTTCGTTGTGATTCATGCTGCATAGAATCTTAGGCGAGGAAGAAATTATAAAGGCCAACTCATGCACACACTACTCAAGTGTTTAAGTTCTCCACAGCATCCCTAGCAAGGAGGTGACCAGTCTGTTTCAATATCTTCAGTGAGAGGGATTCATTATGTCCTAAGCCACCTATTTTACCCTTCCAAAGCTAAACTTACTAAAACAACACACACACACACACACACACACACACACACACACACACACAGGTTCCAAGTCCTCTCTAAATAACTTTAAAGTACATGAAAAAGAACTACAATACATCATATATACATGGCAGAAAAAGGCACCACAGTTAAAGAATGAATTCTTGAGATCTAGAGTGATTTGAATTTTAGGGATTGCTTTATCATCCCATCATCTGGAAGGGTATTTTTATCATTTCTAGTTCTTCCTCTACTTCCTTCTCTTTTTCTAATCAACAGGAAAATATCAACTTTCCCAACTTGTTTTTTGTTTGAATCAAATTTAATGAAGTAACCAACGCTAGCAAAAACTGGGATGATTCTTGGGCCCTGGCCACATTCTAACTGATGACCCAGAATTTAAGTCCTATGCATCCCGCTTTGAGCCCTGGAGATTCCCAGCCGTTCATCGACTGTGGCTTTTTTTTGTGTGTGTGTGGGTCCATATGATTTCCTTAAAAAGCAGAGACTGTTGCCAACTCTGCAAAGTGGCCCCAAATGTGTTCTTTGTGGGTTTTGCAAAAGGAACATAAAGAAATGGGGCTGAACCAGTCCAGGCTGATTTTACTAGCAAGGAATCACCATCTGTTGTAAGATAGTTTCTCAACTCAGGGAAGAGTTGTTTCCCACGTGTTTGACAAGGAATCACTTTTAAAGTTTTGCAAGTTGCTGGGCTGAACCTGTTGTATTTCTTCCAAGAGGCATTTGGGTTTCATTGAGGCCAGAGACTTTGACAGGACTCTCCAAGCAAATTGCTGACTGCTGCTATAAACAAACAGCTATCAGACAAAACAGCAACTGGGGATGTAAGCAAGGGGATTAGAGTAGCCTCTAGTCCATCAAGCCAAAGGCACTCCTGGTAGAACTAATACAAGGCTGTTTTTAGGCATGAAGAAATGTAAGATAATTTTTTTTCCTCTCTTTACTGGGTTGGGGAAAGGAATGAAAACACAGAAAATAACCATGGACATGTGGAAAGAGACAAGATGACTCCTTCCCTTCATCTCTGGTCCACATGCTTAGCTTTGGTGATACGGAAAAAAAAAAAAAAAAAAAAACTATCAATGTCTCCATGAACTCAAGTATTTTCCTTGGATAAGCTTTTTATTTGGACATATGGAATGAAACTTACTTAATGTTTTTCAGAGATCTTCCTAGTGTTTCCAAAATAGAGGGCATCAAGTTAATTCAAATTATTCTCATGCAGAAAAAGTAGGTCAAAGGTGATTGATTTTTCCTAATCCAGCTTCAATAATTGCACAAGAAAAGAAGTACTTCAGAATTTAGTTCTCTTCCTATTCATGACAATTTTACTTGAGGAAAAAGAAAATATGGTAGGTAACGAATTACAATATTTTCTTGCACTGTGAAGCCACAAAATAATAAGATCTGTTTTAGCCATAAAAAAAAAACAAAGGCATGGGACAAGAGACTGGCCACAAACAAGTCAACTGTGATTAAGTTGAAAAAAAAAAAACTGAAGATTTCTGACCCTCTAATTGTAACAAGTCAAGTCATGTATTCATCAGCCACAGCAGTTTTGCCTGTCTCGTTCACTCCTATGAAACACAGCCTGACATTATATGTGCTCAGTAAATACTTCTTAATGTACAAAGTCTATGAAAGGCTCGGGAATAATAGGGCCATTAGATTTGTCAACTTGATGCTGATCCAGACAGAAGCCATTTCAAGGGAGTGATTGAGATGGATTACAAGGGCATTAAGAGTGGGGCTAGGATGCAGGATATGAAGACAGAGGTCTGAGGAGCATAGCAGAGGGGGTTAGGAGGGCCACCTTTGCAGTAAAGCTACCTGGATCTGAATGCTAGTTCTGCTATTTAGTAGCTGGGTGACCTTGGGTAAGTAACTTAATCTCCCTATGTCTATGTTTTGTTACTTATAAAATGAAAAAAAAAAATAATAGTACCCACAAGAAGGTACATAGAATAATACCTAGCACATATTAATCAATATTATTATTATTACTATTATTATTATTATTATTATAGATAATTTTTGGAAATACTACAGAAAATTCCCATATAACCTTCACCTAATTTCCCCCTATGGCAACAACTTGCATAACTATAGTTAAATATCACAATGAAGAAACTGAACTTCAAACAATCCATCCTACCCTAGTTAGATTTCACCAGTCTTACATAGTGGAATCTAAAAAGGGTCTATTTAGTTCTATGAAATTTTATTTACATGTGTAATACATTTTTTTTTTTTTAGGGAAAGATAAGAGATGGGTAACAAAGAGCAGTTAGAGAGCAAACATTTTGTTTTTTAAGGGAGGAAAGTCCTACGGTCTTATGTACTAAGTAGGAGGAGGGCCAGGAAGACATAGGAAGAGGGTAAATCAAAGAACAATGTTTTTGAAGGAGGAAAGGGAAAGGTGGTGAACAAAGGCAGAGAAACAGAGGACTAAAATGTCTTCTGCTGTAATAAGAGGTGAATGTGGCCGAGGTATATCTTGTGAGCTAGGAGTGGAGAATGGACAATTCAGAGGAATTCACTTCTAATGAGCTCTGTTATCTCTGAAAATAGAAGACAGGGCAATTAAAAACAAATGGGGTAAGAAAGATACTTTACAGAATTTCTGGGTTCGATAGGAAGGAACAAAAGATCTTCCAAAATGGAATGAGAGAAGCCGATGTTTTGAAGATATTCTTATGGGTGAAAGGGGCCCGTGGTGCATAAACTGTACTCTTGGGAAGCCTCTGAAATTCTTTACAGCACACTGAAATACTCTCCTTAATCATTATAGGTATTTTTGAAATTTGCAGAAGAATTCAAATCAGTTCACTGCACTTTTAACTTAGTAAGGACTTTTCAAAAACAGGATCCACAAAGTGCTAAACATGAAGAATGAGCCTTGATAACATAAACTGCATTAAAATCAGGAACTTCTCTTTATTACATGCCTTAAATGCAAACTAAAGCTATGTATGATATACCACTACACATTCACAGAATGATTGAGGTGAAAAATCCAACAGTATCGGGAGTGGTGAGGATGTTGAGTAAATCCCACACACTGTTGTGGGATGTAAATTGGTCTACCAACTTCAGAAAACGGATATACCCTAGTGCTCAACATTCACTTGTCCTCTGACCCCCAGATTTATTTCTAGGTATATATTCAGCAGAAATGTCTTCATATATTTCCCCAAAATAAATGTGCAGGCATACTGTAACAATCCCAAATTTGAAAATAAGATATCTAAGTTTTCCACATGTAGTTGAATAGACACATAAATCGCACATACAAAGAATAGGCAATAGCAAGGAGAATTAATGAACAATTAAATGGAACAACATGAATGAGTGGAAGAAAGAAGCCAAGTACATACCAACAAAATGAGTGCATACTGAAAAAGAAATTTTTTTTTTAAATGTTTATTTTTTAGTTTTCGGCGGACACAACATCTTTCTTTGTATGTGGTGCTGAGGATTGAACCCGGGCCGCACGCATGCCAGGCGAGCGCACTACCGCTTGAGCCACATCCCCAGCCCTGAAAAAGAAAATTTATACAACATTCACAAATAGGTTACCTTGGGAGCCAAGGTAGTGAGTAATTTGAAAGAGAAATGAAGAACATGCTAGCACTTACATGTGTGCATTCAGTTTGTGAAAACAGATTTATGATTTTGTGCTAGTAGGCATGTTTGTTGTAGCTAATATAAAGTTTATATAAAAAAACTGAAAAAAAACTTGAGTCAGGTAGTAAAAAACTCAATAGATGTGATAAATACTAGATTGCATACAACTGAAGAGAGAATTAGAAGAAACAAACAAACAAACAAAAAAACCCAATCACTCCATCGAGAAACAGATGGCCCCCAAATCAAAGCCGACTCTACATCCTTTCAATGTGGTTAGAGGAGAAAATGGGTTCCCAGCATTGAAGAAAAAGGAGGAGGCCAGAGCTGCCATCATACTGTGCACACCCAGGTTTCAGTCCTGTTTCTTTACTTCTATTCCTCATTACACTCGCTCCCTTTGCAATTTCATCTCCTTTCCATGGCTTTAAGTGTGATTCATGTGACTGATGATTTCAAACACTTCTCTGATGAGCTCCAGATTCAAGTACCCGACCACCTGTTCAGCATCGCTGTGTGGACATCTAATGGACATCCCAAGCTCAACTTCACTGAAACTGACCTCCTGATCCCCCATCCCAGACCTGTCCTGTTCCTGGATGGAAACTCTACCCTGGCAGTTGCTTAGGTAGAAACCTGGTGCCATCCTTCACTCCTGTTTTCTCATACCCTGTAGCTAACCCACCTACAAATCTCGTTGCCTCTATCTTCAAAATATATTCAGACTTCACCACTTCTGCCCCTGTGGCCCGGAGCACCATCTCTCTCCTCTGGCTCACCCTAATAACTTCCTCAGTGGTCTCTGCTTCTACCCCAGGTCCCCTAGAGCCTATTAGTAACAGAGCAGCCAAAGGGAGCCTTTCAAAACATAGATCAGATCACTTCTTGGCACAAAACCCTTAGATTCTCATTTCCTCAGACTAAAAGGCAAAGTCCCGTAATGAACTGTGAGACCAGGCAAGGTCATTTCCCCTGCTCGACACTGTTACTCTATGTCACTCTGCAGGCTCCTCCAGCAAGCTGG